TTGTTGTTGTTGTATTGCTATTATTTATAATTTATAAATCAACCTCCCTGTATTGTATTGCTATTATTTATAATTTATAAATTAACCTCCTTGTAGTTCGATCTCGGTTTTGCTGGGTTATTTATTACTTCAACACTCCTGTACCTGGACGAAGACATTAATCTTTTGGTCGTGTCATATTTTCAAGAGAATTAAGGAATCTTTGTATTTACTAGAATCCATAATACACAAAAAAAATAATGTTTCTTCAATTTTCACACATCCTGACAGATTTCAGTCCCCTCTTTAAACACATTATTTTCTTTTGTCCGGATGAATTAAGATGCCTACCATATATCACTGAAAAATTATGAATGTCTACTTTCCAATATAGTTATAATCTTCGTACAATTACTTCTTTAGATCTAGATATAGTCTAAATAGTAGATGAAAGTCCAGACATACAAATTTGACAAGTTTTGTAAGTTAAATTTGACCTTATGAAATAATCTTTTTTTGAACTCTAATTTACTTGAAATCTTAATGTAATGTATAATAGCATGTCCAGAAAATTCTGTAAAAATATCAACTCAATCCAATGGCTGTGTTGAAAGTTATGCTCAATGATGTAAAATTAAACAATAAAAAATTTTACATTAAAATTTAAATCTGACCTTACTTGAATTGTATTTGGGTGATTTAGTCTTTTCCACTTGCTCATTGGTCATTATAAGATTGTTGGGGGTATGCTAGTCTTTTCTAGATTTTTTATACAATCCACCTATTGTTTTAATTTAAGGTTAACAAAAATTAAAATTGTTGACCAAAAGTTTTTTCATAGTTTTATAAACTTTTAATTTGTAAAAATGCTTCTTTACCACTAGGATAAAAAAAAAATAAACTTATTGACCAATGCCTTTTCTTTCTCGTTCTTTATATACATTTACATATTTAACCTTAAAAATTAAGGTATGTATTAAGAGGTACATTTGTCTTTTTACATGAGTTTTTCTATAATCTCAAGGTCATTGGGGTTTTTTAATATTTTTATGTTGAATTTTTAATTATTTTATTCAAAAAAAGATGTTGGCGCGTACTTATTAGGATCTAATAACTCAACCCGAGATTAAAAAGTTAATGTCATCTGACATCTTTTTTTTTTCAATTATCTTTTATAATCTTGTTATTCAACATTAATTTATTTTTAATAAATATTGGTTTTTTGATTATTTTTAATTTTTTAAATAGGTTTATCTCGATCTTATGATTTATATCATAGGTTTTACATGCTTTTTTGAATATAATTTTTTTAAAAAAATCTTTTTGTTTGTATTTGATTTTTGGAGATATTATTCTAATTTATCGATAATTTTTTTTATTTTTCAGAACAAAAAATATTTATTTTTAATATGTTTAACTTTGAGTAATATTTGTTTTAAGGTATTAGTTTTTTCAATTAGTTTTATATGTATTTTTATTTTTATTATTTTTTATTGATTTAAATAAAAAAATTTAACAAACGATAAATATCTTAATTTATATTTATTTTTTATATTTTTATTTACAAATGATTATTATCAAATGATTTAATTGAATGTTTGCATATATTTTTTATTTATATTTTAAATTTGTTTTATATATATATAAAAAACATCTAAATAGCCTATATACAACCCGCGTTAAATAGTTAGTATTTATATTGGGGGGGGGAAGCTGAACTCTCTGATAAGAAACTTAGAATTTTCTCTCATTCATAGCCGGCCTGTCTTGCTTCTCTTCCCCATCCCTCCCTAAACCCTAACAATACACTAAATAAAAGAAATATCAATGGCATCAAATCAGCTGCGATGCCATTACGAGGTGCTTGGTGTATCACGCGATTCGTCGCCTGAAGAAATCCGTTCGGCTTTTAAAAAGCTTGCTCTCCGGCGCCATCCTGACAAGCTTCTCCAATCTGGCTTAAGCCAAGCCGAGGCTACTGCTCAATTTCAAGAGCTTGTTCAGGCTTACGAGGTCCTCTCCGATCCCAAAGAACGAGCTTGGTACGATTCTCACCGTTCTCAAATCCTCTTCTCCGATCCCAATTCTGGTAACTCGGTCCCTGACTCGGTCATTCCTAATTTGTTCTCTTTCTTCTCCAACACTGTCTACTCGGGTTATACTGATTCTGGAAGAGGTTTTTATAAGGTTTATTCTGATGTTTTTGATAAGATTTATGCGAATGAGGTTAATTTTTGTAGGAAATTAGGGTTAGGATTGGATAGTGTTAGGGAGGCTCCGTTGATGGGGAGTTTGCAGAGTGATTATGCGCAGGTTTCGGCTTTTTATAATTATTGGTTGGGGTTTAGCACTGTTATGGATTTTTGTTGGGTTGATCAGTATGATGTAATGGCGGGGCCGAATAGGAAATCGAGGAGGGTTATGGAGGAGGAAAATAAGAAGTTGAGGAAGAAGGCGAGACGGGAGTATAATGAAACTGTGAGGGGGTTGGGGGAGTTTGTTAAGAAGAGGGATAAGAGGGTGATTGATATGGTTGTTAAAAAGAATGCTGAGATGGAGAGGAAGAAGGAGGAGGAGAAGGAGAGGAAGAAAAAGTTGGAGAGCGAGAAGATGGAGAGGTTGAGAGCGTATGAGGAACCGGAGTGGGCGAGGGTGAATGAAGAGGAGGTGGATGGAATGGAGGGTTTTGAGGAAGACGAGGATAAGGGGAAGAAGGGTAATGGAGGGAAGGAGTTGTATTGTGTCGTGTGTGGGAAGAAGTTTAAGAGTGAGAAGCAATGGAAGAATCATGAACAGTCAAAGAAGCATAAGGAGAAGGTTGCTGAGTTGAGGGACTCGTTTCAGGGTGAAGATGACGAGAGGGAAGATATCGAGGAGGATGAGCTGGAGAAGAATGAGGACGTGGATGAAATAGAGGAGATGTTTAAAGAGGATTTTAAAATACAGCGGGAAGGGAATGGCGCTGAGGTTCTGTATTCAAGTGATAAAGAAGATGGGTTTTTTGATGCTGATGACATGGATGGGATTGACGAGAAGAATGGGAATGTAGAGGATGAGGAGGGGGAGGAAATGAGCGTACTTGAAGCAATGATGTCGGGGCACAGAAGTAGGAAAAGTAGGGGTTCAAGGCATACGAATGAGGAGTTTCCACAGGAAGTTGAGGATGCAAAAGAGGCTGAGGTTATGGAATATAATAACCGGAAGACTAGGAGAAGAGGCAAGAAAATGAGGGGTTGGAACAATGGTGGTGAAGGTGTTACAAGCGACATTGATGAAAGCAAGAGTGCCAATGAAGAAACTAATGGGTGTGATGATGAACAAAACAAGGAGCCTGCTTCTAATTCTTTTGTGGAGGATGAGAATGATGGTAAAATTGATGATCATTTAGGGAAAACTGGCAAGAGCTCAAACCAATCTTCCAAGAAGAAAGGGGCTGCAAAGAAGGAAGCAAATGTGAAATCAAAGAAGTTGTCTAAAGGCAAGAAAGGAAAGGTAGGGAGTTCATTTTGTATGTTTGCTCATTCATTATTTTCTTTCAGGTTTTTTTATTGTAGTTCTTAATATACTTTTTTCAAAACAACTTTTAATAACCCCTAATTATCACTAGTAGTTATGCTAATATGTGGAATTATGAACTAGTGCCATAAGTATTGTTTTACCATCTTGCAAAAACTATAGTTGTTGACGTACATTTATTGAGATACTTGCTGGTGATGTTTGTGGGTATTTATTCATTAATAAGCACAGAATTTCTTAGTTTCAGATGCTGCACTTGCGAATTATTCTATTAGTTATGGTTTTGGGTTGTCTAATTATCTCAGCTGTATTCTAACCCAGGCAATTTCTAAGGATTCTGGTAATGTGTGTGATACATGTGGAGTAGAATTTGAATCCAGGTCTGCATGACTCATTTCTTATCTGCTACTTTATTTTTTAGTTCTCTGGTTTATTTGTTCTCCTTTTTACCCTCCCCAATTTTACGGAGAAATTCTTACTGTATCCCTTTTATTGGCAGGAATAAATTACATAAGCATTTGGGTGATACTGGTCATGCTACACTGAAATCCCACTGAGGAAAGTTTTCTAGCACCTGTAATTTATTGCTACATACCATAATTAAAGAGATTCTTTGGAAGTATAAGTGCAAGCAGACTTGTAAGAGGTTTATGCAGCAGCTTTTCATTGATTTCTGTTCAAGAGCAAGACATAGGCCTCATCGGTTCCAGGTATTAATTGCCCTTACTCAACAAGTTTTCTTTCTTGCCAATCATGGTACATGGGAGGGGACATTGTATACAAGTGACAGTTTCTCTTTAAATTTTTTCCTGTGTCTTGATAGTCCCTTGGTTAGTGTAATTATTTGAAGGGTTTTGGAACTGCAAACTGTTTGGATCTGTTTATAATTAGATTGCCTGGAATTTTCCTTTTTATTTATTTAATGAGCTTCTGTTTTCATACAGAAGATAATAATAATTTGACTTCATTACTTCTGCTAACTTTCCTCGGATTTTATTGTGCTTTTTGTTTCTGTACTGTAACACCTTTTGGTAGGGTCCCATGAGCTTTTTTCTTGGTTCAGTTAGTCTAGTTTAAAAAAAGCAGCCTGGCTCTTATAAAAACAACACAACGGAGACTGCATATTAGAAAGACCTTGCTGATCCACTTAAACACTTTATTGTGCTTACTGTTAAAACTTGGGCAGAGATCTAAATCTGTTTCTCTGCTTGAATACTCAGTTGCGTTGTCTGCTTGTGTGCTTGAATACTTCGTTTGTAAGTTCCCAGAGCTTCTCATCCGGGTTCAATTGAGGATGTTAGCACAGATCAACTCTTTGTAAACCAGCACAATGGATTGATAATTTCGGCAGCATGACTCCTTAATTATATTCTGAATATTTTATAATGATTTTTTAACTCACATTTTTTTAATATTTTATCTCTGATAGCCCCTTCTCTTTTCTTTTGTTTTCTGTTTGGTAACTGATACTTTCAAAGATAATTGAGCATGCATGCACATGTTGTATAAAGTTATTTTCATTATTGCATTTATTCCCGGAGAATTCTTTCTTAATTGAAAGGGAAGAAGTTTGCTAGAAAAAGCGGAACTTCCAGATGGGTCTAACAGTGTGATACCATCACATAGACTTTTACTTAATGCATAGTATATGACTGTTGAAACTTCTAAACAACACAAGGGCTTGGTGGCCAATTTCTCTTGCAGTTCCCAGATGGACATTTTTTATGTAGTTTAGGACGAGCAATATGTCTAACCTTGCTAGGTATAGTGTAGTTTGGGGAAGGAAGTATGTTTTACTTCTTAAACTTTCTATGCCTACCAACTCCTACTACTTGAAAAGAAAGTACAAGACTAAAGGATTTAATTGAAAGTACGACCCTTGATTGAGAACTGAGTGACAAAGTAGGATCCTTGATAGGTAAGACAGCGGTTGGGTTGATATAAGATCTTTAACAAATGAAGGAATTTTCTATAACATGGATTTATTGAGTCGTCATCCGAAGCACAAATTTGCGAAGTCTATACTTGTATTTTATTTTCCCTATTTATGTGAATTATGACCATTGTTGTTCTATAGGAAATCCATGGACCATCAAGCATTCAGTTTAGGCTCTGTTTGAATTAGAGGTTGCATCCACAGCGCTACCTGAACCAGGTTGCCAGGTGCAACCTGCTTTTCCAAATGAAAAACATGAAGGAAAAGCAGGTTGCACTTGGTTCCTAAGCGGGTTCTTAGTGGAGAGGACATTCTTGAGGCGTGACTTAAAAACTATGATAACTGAATTTTTGTGTTGCTAACTTTTTAAGACCTTTCATTATCAGCAAAAAAGAGGTCTGTCTTGAATTGAATATTCATCAGAATACAGGGAAAGGATAAATATTCATATATGTTGTCGTGTAAATGTCTGTACACAAACTTTATTCAGTCAATGTGTGAAGAATGTGAAATCTGTTCTTGATTTTTCTTGTCTTCTCCACACAGCTTCTAATATGGCTCGGTGATTCAGGAAGTCAAATCGTGTTCTGACAAGGCCCCTATTCCTCAGCCGTGATAACTTTTGTAGGTAGATGAAAAGTTGTTGAACTCCATACGAGATTACCTTGAGCGTTGAAGTGGTCAATGATTTGTTCCTACATCAGCAAGCTAAAGGTTTTTTCAAGGTCCTCCGTGACACAGAATAGAGTGAATCTATCATGCTTGGGAAACAAGAAGCAAGAGAGAAAAAAAAGGTTCATGATCTTGAGAGCTGTTTAGTTAAATTAAAGCCAATTAGTTAGGTCGGTTGAATGAAATGTTCAACTCTTCCTAAAAAAGAAGAAGAAATTGGCAGTTTGACACTGTTGTGTGAATTTTTTTTCTCTTAGGGTTATCGCAGTTGTTAAAAAAAAGAATAGGATGCTAGGATTAGTGTCAAGTGATAATTTCGGGTCACTGTTTGCTTTATGATTGATTTTAGTGGAAAGTAAGCCCTTTTAACCCTGATACAAGGACTGATAGAAAAATAAGATTAACAAATAACCCTGATACAAGGACTGATAGAAAAATGAGATTAACAAAAATAATTTCGGGTCACTGTTTGCTTTATGATTAATTTTAGTGGAAAGTAAGTCCTTTTAACCCTGATACAAGGACTGATAGAAAAATAAGATTAACAAAAAGAGCACAGAAAAATGGAAAAGGGTTGAGGCATTCGCCGTATTGCAAATAAAACTAAGACTCATCATCAATAGTGAAACCGAGTAATGAGTCATTTAATGACCAAAAAAATAAACACTTGTATTTAGAGGTAGAATTGTATTTTTATATATTTATTGTATAATACAATTACTTTCATACTCTTGGGAAAAAAAAAACGCACCTAATGTTTAAGGGGTATTTTTAAATTTTTATATTTTTTTTTACATTATAATTGCCCTCCTAGAGGTAGAATTGTATTTTTATATATTTATTGTATAATACAATTACTTTCATACTCTTGGGAAAAAAAAAACGCACCTAATGTTTAAGGGGTATTTTTAAATTTTTATATTTTTTTTTACATTATAATTGCCCTCCTAACTTTGAGGAACAATTTTTTTTTTTTTTTGCCTAATTCTAACTTTTTTGTGCCCATGGGTACTTTCAGTTTTTTAACATTGGTTTTCTTGGATTATTTCATAGAATTAAGAGTTTTCTAGCCTTTTTGTAATTAAAAAAAAATGATTAATGCTTGTGAATGTACCTATAAGTGTGAGGCATTTGTTCCCTTTGGGTGATGTATAATACCTCCTAATGGTTATTGGTAATCTTTCAAAGTGGTGTTTGAAGTACATGATGAGGTGGTGAAGTTATGTGATAATTTATCATTTTTTTCTTTTTTATTTCAAAAGGTATATTGGCTTTGTAAAATTGCAAAATGATTTTTAATTTTTTAATTATATCAAATTTAATTTATTTATTTTTTAATTTCATCATTTGGTATATGATTTTTTATTTTTCTAATTAAATTTGATTATCATTCTTTTGATTTCTATTCATTTTTCTTTTAATCTTTTTATGATTAGATTTATTTTTTTATTTAATCCCTAATCATTTGATTATTTTTTTTTGTTGAATTTGATTACCATTCTTATAATTGTCATTCCTTTTATTTTGAGTTCTTTTACTGATTAATTGTTTTATGGAAATTTTATCTCTTATTATTTAATTTTTTTAAATTTTCATATCGTATTTGATGCTTATTTTTTTCTTCAAGCTTTTAAAATTCAACCCGAGAGTTAACTCTTGTCATATTTTAGGTCACGAGTTAGATTGAATAACTGGGGTTACAAGGGTCAATTTGTTTTGTTACTGTACAAAAAGTAACGATGACATTATTTTGATAAAAAAATAGTAAAAAAAAATCAACAAGTGTTGGACATGATTTTCTCCTAGCTAATCACTTGATTTTTTATTCAGTTAAAAATTAAAAATAGTATTATTTTCATAAAAAAAATAATGGAGAAACAACTCAATTATGATCCTCTTTTTTTTTAGTAGTCTTCTTTCATTTGATTTTTTTTTAGATTGTTTTTTTTTTTTTAAGTTTCATCATTTGTTTTTATCTCAAATGTGATACTTATTCTCTTGATTTTTATTTTTTTTTTCTTTTCTTGGTTTTTTTCCCTTTTCCCTCAAAATTTTATTTCATTTGTTTTCCAAATTGAGTTCTTATTTTTTTAATTGATTGTTTTTTATCTTATTTTTTCATTTGTTTTTTCTTTCAATTTTATCCCTTAGTATTTTATTTTATTTTATTTATCTAATTTTGTTTATCATTCTTTTAATTGCTTTTTTCATCCTTTTTTTCAAAATCATAAATTTTAACAGATCCTGTTTGGTTTTGATTTTAAACTAAAAATTGGATTAAATCAAACTAGACCCACTAAAAGCCAAAAGTTACAAAAATCTTTTAAGTATTAATAGTTAAACTGCAATCTAACTGGTTAACCCTAACAAATAACATAACTTTACTCTTCCTGCCTCTCATAAAAACTACCGCCTAGCCTAAAGAAATTGTCAATCTTTCTTTCCTAGTTTCCTCTATATGCATCTTGTGGACTTGAGTCAATAGGCTTTCAAAGAAGTCGTATAAGTTATTCGATAGTCGTGATGGAAGCAGAACATCTACCTCCTTATCAAATGCTTCTACAAGTTCAAAAAACAGTGATCTAGTTAATAACCGATATAGAAACTCAAGTGCTATATCTCTGCCAGATTTTAATTAGGTCTAAATTTAGGAATAAGTTATGGCAATAAGCTTTCACATGCTGTGAATTTAAAGCTACACCGATCTTAGGTGTGTGTGTGTGTGTGTGTGTGTGTGTGTGTGTGTGTGTGTGTATTAAGGTTAAATTCTAATTTTAAACCTCTAGCATTTAAAAAACCTGAATTTAACTTGAAAAACTTTGGTTTTCTAGTTTATAAAGAAAATTTTAAAGCTCAATTTAATGTAAGTCAATTTAAAAAAATCCAAAAAAAAAACCCATATATGATGGGATTAAGTTTCCTGATTTTTTTGTCAAAAAATTGAATTTAATCAAATTGGACCATTTTGATTTGAATTGGTTTTCAATCCTGTTTGGTCAATTAGGGTTATCGCAGTTGTTAAAGAAAAGGAAAGGATACTTTAGGATTAGTGTTAAGTGATAATTTCGGGTCACTATTTGCTTTATGACTGATTTTAGTGGAAAGTAAGCCCTTTTAACCCTGATACAAGGACTGATAGAAAATCTAGAGATTAAAGAAAATAAGAGCACAGAAAAATAGAAAAGGGTTGAGGCATTCACCGTATTACAAATAAAACTAAAACTCATCATCAATTGTAAAATCGAGTAATGAGCCATTCAATGACCAAAAAAATAAACACATGCATTTAGAGGTAGAATTGCATTTTTATATATTTATTGCATAATACAATTACTTTCATGCTCTTGAAAAAAAAAATACACACCTAATGTTTAAGGGGTATTTTTGAATTTTTACAATTTTGTACATTATAATTACTCTCTTAATTATGAGGAACAACTTTTTTTTTTTTTTTTTTATTTTGCCTAAGGCTAACTTTTTTTGGCCCACGGGTACTTTCATATTTTTAACATTGGTTTTCTTGTATTATTTCATGGAATTAAGAGTATTATAGCTTTTCTATAATTTAAAAAAAAAATGATTAGTGCGTGGAGAGCATGTGCTTGTAAGTGTGAGGAGCTTGCTCCCTTTATGTGATGCATAGATGTCTCTTCATGGCTATTGGTAACCTTTCAAAGTAGTGCTTGAAGTACATGATGAGGTGGTGCATCTAAAAGAGTTTTAGTGATAATTTATCCTTTATTTGTTTTTTCTTTTCCATCTCAAAAGATGTATTGATTTTGAAAAATTGTAAAGTGGTTTTTAATTTTTTAATTGTATCAAATTTGATTTATTTATTTATTAATTTAATTATTTGGTATATGATTTTTTATTTTTCTAATTAAATTTGATTATCATTCTTTTGATTTCTATTCATTTTTCTTTTAATCTTTTTATGATTAGATTTATTTTTTTATTTAATCCCTAATTATTTGATTTATTTTTTTTTGTTGAATTTGATTACCATTCTTATAATTGTCATTCCTTTTATTTTGAGTTCTTTTACTGATTAATTGTTTTATGGAAATTTTATCTCTTATTATTTAATTTTTTTAAATTTTCATATCGTATTTGATGCTTATTTTTTTCTTCAAGCTTTTAAAATTCAACCCGAGAGTTAACTCTTGTCATATCTTAGGTCACGAGTTAGATTGAATAACTGGGGTTACAAGGGTCAATTTGTTTTGTTACTGTACAAAAAGTAACGATGACATTATTTTGATAAAAAAATAGTAAAAAAAAATCAACAAGTGTTGGACATGATTTTCTCCTAGCTAATCACTTGATTTTTTATTCAGTTAAAAATTAAAAATAGTATTATTTTCATAAAAAAAATAATGGAGAAACAACTCAATTATGATCCTCTTTCTTTTGATTAGTCTTCTTTCATTTGATTTTTTTTAGATTGTTTTTTTTTAAGTTTTATCATTTGTTTTTATCTCAAATGTGATACTTATTCTCTTGATTTTTATTTTTTTATTCTTTTCTTGGTTTTTTTCCCTTTTCCCTCAAAATTTTATTTCATTTGTTTTCCAAATTGAGTTCTTATTTTTTTAATTGATTGTTTTTTATCTTATTTTTTCATTTGTTTTTTCTTTCAATTTTATCCCTTAGTATTTTATTTTATTTTTTTATCTAATTTTGTTTATCATTCTTTTAATTGCTTTTTTCATCCTTTTTTTCAAAATCATAAATTTTAACAGATCCTGTTTGGTTTTGATTTTAAACTAAAAATCGGATCAAATCAAACTAGACCCACTAAAAGCCAAAAGTTACAAAAATCTTTTAAGTATTAATAGTTAAACTGCAACCTAACTGGTTAACCCTAA